TGTGTCGTCCTGGAATGGCTCCTCGAATTCCTCCCCGAACTCCTCCTCCGAGAGATCTATGATGTAGTCCTGTGGTCAAAGAAGCGATTCAGGCGCTTCGACCGCGCCTTCATGGGCATGGACGGTTTTGATGCCAGGTCCGCAGGAATACGGTGGACAGCTTCGCAACTTTCGTCAAACTTCATAAAGCAAAGACACGGCAGATACTACGTTCATGGTCAGGGGACCTAGCCAAAGCAGCCTGGCCCTTTCAAGCTCGCATGGACAGATATTCATTTCCTGACTGTAATGTCCACACGTGGTGTTCTGTGCACTTTTTATCTCCAGAGCTTTTGCACAGGTTCTCCAGGACTCCAGGAGCAAAAAAATGGGCCGTTGATACAACTCTAAGCCAAGGACCCTGCGCATCAACCCTTAGAAATTTCAGGAGATGAAGCATGGGAATATATGGACAGCCCTGTGTTTTTTTGCATCCGGGCTTGGGAAGTCGGCAGGGGAAAGTCATATTTCTCGCAAGATGTTTCATGAGAGTCAAAAGGTCTCACAAACTGATTATTATGCTGTTGTCGCTCTCGCCATCTTTGCTCCTTGACTGTTCTTCGCTTGAGCATGTGCTCCTCGCGTAATCGTTCCAAGCTTTGGGGCTCATCTGATGCCTGGCTCTGTGTTAAAGCTGGGTGCTTGTGCAAATGTCTCTTATCTCACCCGGGCCACTCGACTCGGCCAACCCAGCTGACCTACCCATGCAACAGTCGCTCTTGCAATCCTTTGAGGCGAGCTTGCGTGCCTCCATCTGCATACTTTCGGCCAGGTCGGCGAGAGGGCATTGCCATGGGGCAACTTGGATACCCCACCGGCTGGGTGGAGGCGACGTCGTGAGCTACGGGCTTGGAGAGTTTATCACGTGGTGGAAGAGGAGATCAGGGTGACATGGGGTGACGTACGGTGTGCGCTTACATGGCGAGCCCTGAAAGGATTAATCTCGGCTTACTCCTCTAGGCTGCGCAGTTGTGCGACGGTGGCCGTGACGAGCTGCCACATAGGGCACAGCTTTGAGACTTGCATCCCTCTGGAGACTCCAGTACTCTTCGCCTTGAAGCCCGATACCTTTCAACCCCAGAGACCCTGAAAAAAACCTCGTGTCTACACTTCCACGGTCCATGTCCATGACGGCAGCTCCTATGAGCCTGGAGACGGGCTGAGCGGTCCATACGTCTGGGCATTCAGTTTGCTTAGTGCGGTCAATTGCTGTTCCCAGAGCTTCCAGTTTTGAGATTGCGATTGTAGTCGTAGCGTGTCTGCGAACAGAGCGAGAACACTGAGAGCTCGAAGTCGGCTTCTTGGCTTGAGCACCAGAACCAGAACAGCGGGAGTTAAGACTTGACGCGCCTGTTCGCCGCCTGTTGGCTCCATCTAGCTATTGCCAAGCTCACAGAGGAATCATTCGTGAACGATCTCAGCAGGTCTAAAACTTTACCTGCCTGAAAGCCAATTCCTGCTCTACCCTGAAGTCTGAACAACTCTGAATCCTTCACGCAGCACTGCATCTTTCTCGGCATGAGGTGCCAGCGAAAGTCGCTCCGTCCACAGCAGACAACCTGAACCCCGCGCTCTGATCACAACTCCTTCAGCCACTAAAGTAGCTGCGTCTGTCTCGGTTGATTCGGCGGTGCTTGCCGACGGTCCTCCCTGTTACTTAGGACTGGAAACCTTTCCACATGCCAGCTCTCCCACATTTCAAGGTTCAGGGGTTTATCCAGGGATCCGATTGGCAATGCCAAGCCCTCCTTTCTGCAAATCGAGGCCGCTAATTACCTGACACGATGCGGTGGAAGCCTCAAGGCGAAGGACAGCAAAATGAATCGGAGCCTGAAGAACGGCGAGCTTGTTCGTTGCACTTCCTTCTGTCTCGTTGTTGCTTGTTGCTGCTCGTTTAGCTTTTCTGGTGCTTCGCGATTGCGCACGCGACTGTCATTTTCCTTTAAATGTTTGCTTTGCTGCTGTTCCTGCCGCTTTGACGTCGCTGTTGCAAGTTTTCTGCCTCTCGATTCTGTAGTGGCCTGGAACACGTGCCGAGACAAAAGTAAGGGTGGTGCATGCACGCTCGGGACTACTGCCCTCTCGTCCGTAACAATGATGGGACTCTACTATCTCCGGGTGCTGCTGCTATGCGCTGCTACAATACTTCCTGCCAATATACTTGAGGCAAGAACTATCTAGGCCGTTGTCTAGCAGCAGTCTAGCACTAAAGCCATGTATCAGGCTGACTAGAACTCACCTTCTTGTCGTTACTTGTCTTTATGAGGACTCAGACTAGTCAGTCTTCTGGTTTCGTGACGAACGTGGTGATTATCCCTAGCCTGTCATTGCGCCTCCTGTCCGTACTTGTATCATGATCACCACTAGCGGCATTATACAGATGACGGTGGTTGCTGGCAGTGCTACGGCTGCTACGGTTGTGATATTGTCATGTACTATGACAACTCTCGACAACTGTCGATTTGCCATAATGACGAGTGCTGGCCTTAGTGCGATCATGCCTGTTGTATCTGTATATGTATTATATATATATATGTATATACATGTGTGTGCGTCTGCTGTTACATGATACCATGGGGTCAGGCTGGCCACGCTAGAGACCCTTGCCCCCAATGATAATCACGTCTGGTCCTGGTGGCCTTCTAGCTAAACGGAACTTTAGACATGTACCGTACCCCTGTATCCCGTGGCTGCTTCAAGACAAAATTAAGAAGCACACGAGACGACCTAAATCTCAAATGTCTTGGTGCTCAAGAAGAGCGCGAGCAGTTGTGGCTATGATAGCAGTTGTGCCTCATATGTCCGCTATGAGCAATGACAAGGTCTGTCTAAGATTACTTCAATGCCACCAATGATGACCAGGCATAGTATGGCAAGCACCAGTGCTATCAGAACCGGACTGTTCGTATTGACTCATTTTGAAACCATACCATACCGAAAGTACTACACATTCCAACTGTCAAGGCGACCGTCAGGAGGCAGTGTAAAGCAATTTAACCGTTGCTAGAACACAAAGGCTGTGCACCCTGAACCCAATGGCCCAGAAGCAAGGTGCCGATACACAAAGTGCTAAGCAACACCTGGTATGTGCACAAGCATGGGCACTGGCACATAAACGAACATGGCTCATGCGAGCCTGATCTAAAGCTCCATACTACATCTACTGCACGGCATGCTGTAGAGATGGGAGGCCGTGGGCAAAAACCGTCCGTGCGGAGTGTGCGCCTTCATCAACAGCCGTTCGGCCATTATTGAGGCTGAGATCATCGGACTTGTTGCTGATCGACAGCCCTGACAAGCAGCCAGGCTTCCGCCGCCGCGAGCAGCAAGCCCCGACGACTTGAGCTGAGCGTTTCATGTACAGGAGTCACGAGTGAGAAGCCTAGTGCATAATAAACCAAGACGCACAAGCAAAAGAACATGAGAAAAAATGCAGATCATTTTCGGATGAGACCAAAAACGCATCTGCAAACTGCCGAGGTCCAACAACGCATAAACAAATTTGGTTGGGTAGACAGCCAACAGCAAGGTACAACATGCATCTATGTGCTGGTGTATTTTGGGGTGTCACATTCTCGGGTCTTGAGTCTATAGACTTCTCAGGGCTTGCATGCTGGTTGCAGTCGGTGGCAGCACTGAATTGTAAAGCACGGGCACTACAGCAGCAGCAAGCACTGTGCGGACTTCCCGAGTCTCTACTCCGACTGTCAGCAGAAGCTTGGAGCTTTTGCGATCCAGGTCTCTGATGCTAGCCGCGTTAACATGTGCTTGTGAGCCCTGAAGCCCAAAACCCAACAGTACCACTTCCGGCGCGCAAACCACAAGCGTCTCGCACCGTCCGACTGCCAAATGCAACATTCAGCCTTCTGTCACGTTTGCCCCCTCTTTTTCATCCACCTCCAAGCCTCATGAATTCAAGAACTTTTGCATCAATTGCACAATTTCTGGAATCATTCGATGTTGAAGATGGAGAACAGCTTCTGCATCCGGTTCAAGGTTGGGAATCCTGCGTAGAAGCCCGGTGTCGGCCTACTGACTGTTTGTGTACGACGAACTTCCTCCAGGCCAGTCGTGATTCAGGGCTCTAAGAGGAGCCTCTGTCTGCAAAGCTTGAAGAGCCCCGGCCGACCTTGTCGTACAGACTCCAGGTCATGCGAAATTCGCTTAGTAGTTCGGGGTCCCCTCGGTCCTGGATAGTGTGCCATAAGTTTGGATTGCAAAGCATTCTGGAACGACGTGGTGGATGACAAAGCGAGGGGTCCAAACTATGTTGGTGCCTGACTGAGCTCTATGCCGACCTTCTAAGTGGGCACGGGGCTCTTTCCTTTAAGCATATCATACGGAGTCTAGTAGATCTCCATTAACAGGGTCCAAACACATGCTCGCGCGATTTGAATGCTCACAGAAGGCTACATATGTGCTTGCTCCTCATCTTGCTCGACTTCACTTTGAGCTATCAATCGGCAACGATGCTGGAAAAGAAGTCCGCAGGGCATTACACATCCAGGTCTAGTTCTGGAGTGGCCTAGTCTTTCTCGTTCAGCATCGACAGGACCCTGTTTCCCGGAGACCGCGGTGTGGCTGCGGCCTGCTTCTTGTACCTCTTCTCGCTCCCTGCCGGGTGCTACAAGTAGGTCTTCGGCCACTGGGAACAAGCAAAGTTCGGCAGATTCGGGTCAGGTAGGGTTAGACTCTTGCATTTCGTACTGTGGCCGTGGCACTTTCCAAAGCGACAGAAGCTTGACAAAGGGGTGAGAAAGTCCGAGGATGTCTCTCGGAGAGCGCAAGGACGAAATAACGCATAGCTTTAATGCCACTCCAACACAACACGGGAACATCCATCGCAGCGAACTGTGACCCCAACTTCTGCTTTTGCGTATCCCCCGACGTAAAAACCAAGCGTTTCTGCGCTTCCGAAAATCAACCACCAGGACCAATGCAGATGGTCGCTTCTGCTGCCATCAGCTTGTAGCATACCTTGATTGAGCGTGTTGTTGCTATGTGGTCGTGCACACAGCATCGCTGACAATAATGGAACATACAAGCCTCACTTCCTAGTCTGCTGATGTACAAACCACAAATATCCTAAACTCATTGCAGTCCAAGGTTCGAAGGCTGGCAGTGGGAGATGCCACACATGCTGTGCCTGGACATTGGGCAAGAGCATGGAGCTGCAGGCTGCAATCACAGAGGCATAAACATGTAAACAAATGATCTTTCGCCCCTGACTGTATTGGAAGCTACTTGTACCTCGCCACTCGCGTGAGCGAAATCGTGCGGCTCTTCCGCATGAGGTGCCGGGACTGGGGTTGGACATGGTTGGACTGCTTCAGCCAATTCGTGTCCGAGCTCTTCGAACAAGCAGCAGCTCCGCGCACATTACCAGCTAAGCGGGCGCTGAAATACGAAGGCTGGACTCCTCACTTTCGGGAGCCGGACCAGCCCCGGATGTCTGGAATACAGGCTGGGAGTCTGGAACTGAGGCAGCCACCCGGTCCTGATTGACATAGGCACCTGAAGAGATACCACTTGCGAGCTGACGCTTCAAGGCCTGTATCCAGCATTGGTATTGACTCTCGAACATGCCTGGGTAGTGAGGGCCCGACATGGTCGACTACATTGCAGGCTGCCATGACAGCTATCCTCCCAGATTTGATGGCATTTGCATGCATTCAGAGGCTCGCCTGCCCTGGCCCCAAAGCTGTGCGGATGAGGTCCGGGACAGAACTTAAACAAAAACCAGCCTGCACACGGTCCCGTCCACACATCTGTGCCAATCAGCCGAGTCCTTGGAGTATGTTCGTCGTGGTTGAGGCGCAGCTGCACCTGGTCTGGTCTCAGAGGCTTACCAGGGTAACACCAAGCCAGGATCCGGCAGCTCTGCCGTCATGGGCAGCCTCTTCCCCGACTTTATGTTCTCAGAACTCGGACAAGATGTGACAAGATTTGAGCGTCGCTGAAACTCTTCTGGGGCCGGACTCTCACAATTTGTCCAAGCGTGCGAAGCATGAGCACTGAAGCCTTCAGCATTTAACTATTCCCATGCTACCGACAAGCCCCCAGCCACCAGCACCGGGAGGCCCAAATTCTGCAACAACGGGACTGCGGCAGGCAACCAGACACGTGCTCAGGCAGGGACCAGCCAGTATGCACAGTTAAAGGACATGAAAAGGACACTGCCTCAGCCGAGACTGAAGCCTTCCACATTCAAAGCATGCTCTGACATGCTCTTACATGATGCTTGGTTTGAAGTAGTACAAACATACTTGCAGTTTTACCGGCGGCCTAAAGCGCAGGTGCGATTGCAGCATCGGCAGCAACCGACATGTGCCACAAAACAGCAAGGCAGTCAGGTCCAAAACGTCTTCAATTCGAAGGACTGAAGCCCAAAGCGGGATGAACGGTGCCAGCAGCTTATGTCGGGGCAGCTCAGATGCCAGCCCAAATGAGGGTCTAGCCCTGCCAAAGCCTGCAGCACAGTCAGGGGCAGAATGGCGGTGCACAGGCTGGGCCAAGGCCCAGGGCTAGTTCAGCGCGCCTTCAGTAGCCGATCCATGAAAAGGCCATGGGTGACACAGACGACCTGGGACCGGTCTCTTCAAAACCCATCTCTGGCCGACTCTAGCAACAGTGACGGAAGGCGAAACTCGGCATGATGCTGCCTCTCTCAGCATAAAACAAGTAAATAACCAGTTCAAGATTGAGGTTTTAAGATCGTGTACTATGTTGTTAATACTGCACTACAAAAATTCTACCATACTATATTGTATTTTATTGTACTCTCTCCCTCTCTCTCGCTCTATATCTTCTTCTGATAGGTCTTTCGTTCTTTTTGAAGAGCGAAAGGGGAGGTCGTCCTCCCCCTTGTGCGAGCGTGCCCCGTATTGGAGTAGTAAAGGCTTCGGGGAGCGACCTGATCCCCAACGATCCTGGCCAGGGGAACACGAACACGAAAGTAACAAGTGCAGACGGAATCATGGCCGCCCCACAACGCAAAGAAATCTGAGTACAGCAAGCAAAGCATGATTTAAGGGCCCTCCCAGGCTTTCTTGGTGCCTCTGCTTTCGGAGTCGGTCGTCGGAGTCCGAGGCATCGGCACAACGACTGACAGTCCCAACAGCGTGCAAGCACACACTGATGCCCCCGTATTTTTAGTTGCTCCATGAGGGGGCTCACAGATTTACAATTGTGAGGCATCAGTGGTAGCCTCCCCCCCTGCCCCTAGTGCTTGGGGCTCCGTATTTGACCAGGAACCCAACGCAACAAGCACACCTTCACAGCCGTCCTGGTCAACTGTAACAAAGGGCATAAGGCAGCGAAGGCACCGGCGACTCAGATGAGGTACCCTTTGCCACCATCCAGCTTCTGCTCGTTGGATTTCCCACTCTGCAGCATCACGGGGAGTGTCTTCGTACTGCTCCACTGCCTCCGGCTCTCTGATCGCCCGGAGCTCTTCTTGGATCCGGATGGCCGCCCGCGAGTCGATGACTGTGTGGTGAAAGGGACGGTGTCCTTTGAACTGCGGACCCATTCTCTAGAAGCTGTGCTGCTCCCCTGGCTGCTGCCACCCTTGTTGTGTGCCTGCACCTCTTCCAATTCCTGTCCAACAGCTCCTCCTGAGTAAGCCTGATCCCCCCTCTCGTCCAGCCCATGTAGCAGGGCTGTGACCTCTCTCATAGGGCTGTTGGATCTTGCTCTTTTCCTCCCGCGTGGTGATGTGCCTTCCTCCTCCTGCGAATGTCCCAAAATCCACTACCGCCTGCAACTCTTCCAAGAGATGCGGTTGGGCCTCCTCCGCAAGTAGCTGCTGCAGGTGGTGCTATGCACCACTGATGTGTCGAGGTGCGGTGCTTCTGCCCCGGTTGCTCTGCGTGAAGTTTAACTGCTTGTGCCTGCAGCTCGGTCCGGAGCTCGGTGTGGGTGCTGGGAGGTCTCTTCTTCTTCTTCCACAGGGCGTAGGGGACTGTTAAGGTCCCCCGGCCTATTGGCCCCCCATATGTTATAGGGCTTCGTGGGGACAGTGAAAAGAAACACGGATCAACGTCAGAAGGACAAGCAATGACTACAGTATTTGGGAAGGCTGACGTTTATCCATGTAGTGACTTTGGGACACCTAGGTCACTCTCTCTCTTTTTCTCTCCCTCCCTCCCTTTTGGGCAAAGGGAGCGTCCAAGGCCCACCCACGTTATGGGCACCATAGGGTAGTCGTGAAACCACATCTCGAGTCCTTCGAGGAGAAGGCCACGCTGAATTCAGTTTTGCACATGTTGTTTCCCCGGGCTCGACATTCTTGAAATCTGCGAAATCAGCACTCAAGAAGCCACCGACGAGGCACTATGACGACACAAATGCTTGACACATGCGAGGCAACGCAGATTCCCCGCAAGAGGCTGGCTTCTTTGGTATGAGTGTCTATACTCCACATGCACAGGACAGTGTACAGTGCACAGGACACCTACCGATGAAGGGCTAAATACAGCCAGGAACTGTTCTTTGCTTTGCTTTGCTTTGCTTTGCTAGGGGTTTGAGGAGGCGGCAGCTCCGCCGCCCCGCGCTCCAAGGCGCTACCCCTGTCCATCATGTTGATAGACGGAGGGTCGCTGTACGATGGACTGGCTGTTCGGTGGAAAGCTACGTGGCATTGCCTCCGTAGGGCCGCCGTAGGGGCAAGTGAACAGGATCTAGTAAGCAGTAGAAAACAGATTGTGTCCTGTTCTCTCGCTTGCTTGCTTGCTTGGGGTGTCGGGTCAGGAGACCCCCGGTCCGAAGGCCAACCCCCCAAGGCGCGCTGCGGTGCGATCTCAAGGCCCGTTTCGGGGAGTGGCAGTGTTCCGCCAAGTGGGCATAGAAGTCCCCCACCCGAAGAACACCCCTCCTAAACCATGATCAATGAACATCCCTCGTATGCCTCACTCGGGTCATCCACGCTGCTCGGGACACTACTTCTTCTGTTATTGGCTCGCACGGGGGAATTGTCGTGAAGCAAGCACCAGAAATGACCATCAAGAAAAGGACAAAAGGAACATGCATGTCCCCCGCCGCCAGTTTTCTACGAGGCTCACCAGTTCCCCTCGGTCATTAAGTGCAAAGTTCGCCTTTTGGCAACCCCCAATGCCTTTGAAATGGCACTCGCCCCCCGCCTCACCTGCCTCCCTCGCCTGGCACCAAACAGAAGCCTTGCGCAACGCTGCCTTCCACCTTCCCACCCCCCAACCCTGAACCTTTAAACATTAGAGCTGCAACAAGTGGGGGCTCGTCAGGAAACCGCGAGTACATAAGCAAAGGTCGACGACAAAGTAGTGGAAACAGGAATACAAATCAGCAACCCTCCCCCTTTGCAGCGCTCTTCAAGTTTAGTGTGCCCCTGCTCCCCCTCTGTGACTGGCAATAAAGCTACTCACTGAAGTAAAGAGAGTAAGAACGCCCTGGTACCACAACAGTGAATCGTCATTGTCCAAGGAGCTTGGGCCATTCTCTCATATTCGCGCTCTCTCTCCCTCTCTACCGGGACTGGAGAAGCAGGCGGCTGCCCACTTCCCCGCATGCGAACGCGCACCCACGAGTCCCAGCGGGGTTTTGAGGTTATCGATGTCAAAATGTCCCCCGCATCGCTCGGCTGGACATGAGGCATGGAAAGGAATCCCCTGGTAAACAAAGCCAAGTCGAGAACTATGAACTCTTGAGTTTCAACTGGGATTCCCCCGTTCTGACTACCGATTTGCCCCGCTCTGGACTGTTCACGAAATAAAGACCACTCTTTCTTTCCCCAGGGCTACGGGCAGAGGTTGCCCTCTGCCCGCGCGCGTCAGCGCCTCCGTATGTTACGGGGCGAAGAGTAAAGACCACTCTCTGTCTCTCCCTCTTTCTTTCGTCAGGGTTGTGGGCAGCTCTCTCTCCCTCTCTTTTTCTTGGCTTTTCTTCAGCCACAGCAGCCACTTCGTGTTGCTGTCTACGCCCCAGATTGGCAGGACTAGGGAAACTACTCTGTGAAACCAGAATCCCTCCACTCTTCCAACCTGTCAAGATGAGAAACAAGAACCGTCGTCCCCAGCCTTAGCCCTCTCCACTGCGAGCCTGGATCCCAGATTCGGCGAATCGGCGGCATCACACTGAGTATCGGGCCGCCCCAGGACTTTCACTACTCCGGCTTTCTTCTGCGCCTTGGTATCGACACCTACAATATGCCAGGCCAAATGTTCGATTGGTCTGCAGGCTTTTGCTGGGGAGTGTGCTGGTACCGTGGTACACTCAGCACCCCAAACCCAATTTGCATCCGGGCTTGGGACGTTGGCCGGGAAGGTCAGATTTCTCCCAGGATGTTTCATGAGAGTCAAGAATGCTTCATAAAGGAAAAAGACCCAAACCCTAAACCGTAGATGCTCAACACCAAACCGGAAGAGGAGGGGGTGGTTTAAGGGAGGGGGAGGGGGCGGGGGGCTGAGAAGACAAGCAGGGGACAGACGCACCATCCAATCTTGGCAACTTGACTTTGGTGCAAATCCCTCGGGCCACCTCGCGAGCAAAGCGGTCCCGACCGACGGTTCAGTCTGTGTCGGGAAGACACTGAAGAAGTGTGTAGTCAATCGGAGGCTGCTGCACAAACCAAGCGAATGACTGACACATTGGCTATACAAAGAGCGGGCACAGCAGCACGAGCTCTAAAACTAAGGACTGTCAAGACAGCAAAACTAAAGTCCTACGGGACAGCACTCAACTGAACTTGTCGTTCCGACAACTTCCGCCGGGCTGGCACTGGCACAAGTGGACTCGCCTGAGGAGGTAGCCCTGTGACAAGTGCAAGGTTATTTTTCATTATGCTAAACTGCCCGAATCCCGTTACAGCTCGGACGGAGCCCTCAAGCCTCCATGCGACCTGTCTGGGGTCCGTGTCTGAATGAAATTAATAAAATGGGCAGCACTGCCGTGGATTGTGGAAGCGCGCTACCCACCGGGCTACTGTAGTGCATCTGTATGCGACGGCGTGTAAAATACTTGTTTCAGCAGGGTTTGCATTCCATTGGACAGACTGCCACATCTCCACTCCTGGGCGCAATGCCTTGCTCTTCGGCTAACTTCCACAGCCACTCCGCACCTCAAAAGCTTTGCCGTTTGACACTCAAGCACTGCATTAGAAGCTCCAATTTGATGCCTATCAGACCTGGACCTGAACTCATGATGAGAGCTCGCACCAAGCCTGCAAGATGAAGACTTACGCGCATCTCACAAGCGGGATTTCGACAAGCGCTTGCGTCTAAGCTTGCGCATCTGCGAGCCCACCTTCTACAAAGCAAATAACCAACACCGCAACATAGGCGTACTGACTCGAAATGCCATAGCAAGCCATACCAGCTTTGCAAATCGCCTCTGCACGGTAACGCCCACTTAGCGCTCAAGGCCTCATTAGATCTGCAGGCGGACCCACCATCCTTCTGAGGCTGCTGGCATCGATGTGCGCGATCAGTTGCCGCTGCTGGCTGCTCTACTCCTCTTCAAATCCAGTGCTGCAGAACTGTTGCGATGCATCGAGTAGCCTGCAAACCTTAGAACCTGCTGCTTACTAGCGGTGCCCACCTCCGGGCCACCAGCCCTGCTCAGGGACGCTCTCCGTCACTTTGAGTGAGGGAAGAACTTCACCTGCGAGGGTGGTGAGAGTCAGCCGTTCGATGGACGCACCAATATATTCCTGGACGATTATACTGCAAGAGCTGCGCGCCAAGGTGCCCCAACAGTGTCGGGATGGGCAAATCTTGCTGCCGCGACATGTGGTAAGGCCCCGACACATTCGCTGTGCATTGAGACCATGGTGCCTGCACCGCCATCTGCTTCTTGCACTAATACGCTGTCAAGCTCTGGCTCATCTAATTATTACCTACGGTCCTTCGCTAGACCTGCCCCTACGCTGCAGCGCTTGCGTGGTGCCGGACCCAGATCTCAGATCTCTGAGGCCACAGCATTGGATAGGACTCTCGCCGAACTCCTCTCCTTGGTCCCTCGAAGACGCCCCCCTCCTGACGGGGAGGCACGGGGAGAATGACAAGATGTCTGAAGACACTCAAGATGACTTGACACCGCAGTCGTATGAGCGATGCGAGAATAACAGAAGTCAAGGACTCAAGGAGTAGGACCCGGCAGGCCCGGCAGGTTGCAGCCTCGTGGAGATCCGAGTGTAGTTCTGGGGCCGTCTGCAAACTCTCCGCTATCGGATAGCACGTCCTTAGACCGGGCAGGGTCAGGCCGCAGAGAGGATGCCGCATGACTCGGCAAGGCAAGTCTTCAAGCCCGAATGCAGAGTAATGTTTTCTCGGGGTCCTGTGCACCGTTATGGTGACTCTGACCTACCGGTGCAACCGCTCCTCGCATTTCATTCCTTGAGCTTCCAGCGGTCTAGTCGGCAAAAGCAGCATGTTCTTCGCACACATCAAGCATCTTGTTGGGCAACGCCCCAGTGAAGGCTACGGTAGAAGGTACAATGTAAACGGCACAAGCTTAGAACCGGAAATAACAGGAACAACCACGAGGCATACATGCCTGCAAAAGCTTCTCCCATCGAAGCAATGAAGCTATAAAGCCGTGAAGCCTGCAAGGCGAAAGCTGGGATCGCGGCTCAAGGGCTCTGAGAAATCCAGAAGTGAAGAGCAGTCGCGGTTGGAGCCTCGTAGCGACATGTACAAAGAGAAGGCCAGCAGCTGGCGCGGCAGCAAGTGTAACTACCGTCCAAGATGGGGAGGAAATGGCAAGTAGCTTTTTCTTGCATTGCTGCTGTTCCTCGGACGAGGATTCACAAACTACTATGTAGCGGGCAAGCTCCCGTTGCTTTGAAGGATAGACTGACGAAATGTCGTGGTGCTGACCGTGCCCACAAGTCTAAGCTGTTGGTGCAGGTTGACGAGAATAGAAGGTCGGGGTGGCCCGTCTTGCAGCAACGCTGGTGCGTCGAATTAGATTTTTGCACCGAACTAAGCTCTCTTCGTTCATGAAGCACAGACCCTGCCTAAGCCCGGTCTTCGACGAGGGAGTCTAAGTCTAAGCTATCCATTCCATTCTGTTCTCTGCTCACTGATCTTGAAAGTTGAAGCAGCCAGAGCTAGCGAAAGGGGGACAGGCGGCCCGCTCCTTTACGCTGCCGACTCTGCCAACCCAGTGTACACTAGACTGGACCTAACCCGTGCTCCAGCGATCTCGGAGCATTTGTCATAAAGTTTAGTCCAAGTCGGGTGCTGGTAGAATCCCTACATGGGGACTAAACCACTTCCAGGCAAGGTCTGTCTCCAGTCTCTACCGCGCAGCAATGCCAGCATTGGGGACACCACTCTGCTGCTCAATGCAATCACTTCTTCACGGCTCCTAAAGTTCAGCTCACCTGTGGGTGAGAATCCTTCTCCATCAGCCAATGTTTTTCAGAGCGAGAATGGGATCCCTCCGGGGCAAACGGCGGGAGGATCTGATCTGCAAACCTAGAACGACTGGGATTTCATCAGAGGCGGCTTGGCAGGATGAAGGAGCGCCACGAAAGAAGGTGGCTGAGGTTAGTGGCTAAGCCCGGGGCAGAATCATTAGTATTAGTATAACTAAGCGTAGCCCTGGTCTCGACGGTTCCGTCACTGAAACACTTTTTGCATCTGGACTTGTGCAATCGCCGGAGACTGTCAACGCAGGGAGCGTGTAGATCCGAGACACTACACTTCTCACTTCTGAGACACTGAAACACTGCAACGGAAGCCCCGTCCATCTACCCTCACCACTGACAGCCGAATTCGTAGATCAGTTGTGAGCATTCCGGAGTCTTGGATCCAGCATGATCTAGCTAAAGATTAACCTTTGGCACGTTCTTTCCTCTGCAAACCTCCGCTGACGTCAGCCAGGTAAGAAACACTAGCCGTGCAGTGAAAGCGGAGTTGAGGGCAAGGGGTTCGCGAGATCTCCAATGTAAAGCTGTGCGAATCATGTGGGACACGTATAGTTTAGGCGCTGGTCAAACAATTTTCGGGCTGAACTGAACATGCGTGAGGTACAGTGCTGCTGGAGGCCGTTGAGGCGAACGGGTCTCGCATGCTGTCCCAGTATATCACAAGATATCAGAAGCACGTGCATGCCCACCAGACAATTTGGATGTGGATGGCGTTTGCAACAACGGCTGGGTTGGGTCGGCCTCCACTTTCACACGACGAGACCATCTTGCAGGCCAGGTGTCCGATTCTGCGGAGCCTGTGTTTTCGGGTTGGACTGTTGATCGGCTCTGCTTCCGCTTCATCGAAACCCAAGCAATGCATCATCAATCGAAACAAAGAGCTGTTCCCAAACCCAAAGTTAAAAAGAGGATCCAGTATTAAGCACACACGCAGCCAGTAGCTGACAGCTGGGTTCGACATGACAATGGCTGAACTCAAGATGGAATGGTGTTGGGGCAGTGCGGATCGGAGCCATCTAGCCCACAGTTGTCTTAAACCAACTGCCTTTGAGCCCCACCTCCAGATCATCATAAGCAGCCCGAGCTTGTCACTCTCTCAATGCCACACAAACGCCGAAGCCCTGATCCTTGCACTTAGTACTAAGCGGAGCAGGACATCATTGCCAAGCCCGGGCCCTCAAGTGCTTTGTGGGGCCTAGTGCCCGGGACCCAGCTCCAAGAGGTCCACCTTTCAGCGGAAGTCGCAGTGTTGAGAGCACTGCCACAATAACAACAAACTTGGACGGTAAGGAACGGCTGTCTTAAAGAAAGGCACGGATCAGCTTGACCCTGGGACCTAGGAAAGAAGCTTGAAGGAGCCAAGCTGCATTGCACACAGTGGCAACAGTGCCACATTTTCGGCTTCGGTCGAGATTCCCGCATAAATAACAAAGCGCAGAACAATAGAAGCCATTCTAGCGATTGGGGTCTGGGATGAGCCTCTGTCTAATCGTGGCTGCGACCCTCGAAGACACAGCGAACCCAGTGCCAATGTGGGGTTTCGGCTTTCTCTTGTTGCTTCCTTGCCCCTTCATGACTGTCGTTCTGAGCTCGCGGTACCGGAAAGCAACGCCTCCACGTGAACTGGGAACGTGTCGGCATCACGCTCGACCTTCCTGGGCTGTTGGACTTTCAAGTCCTTCCACATCTTCATAGGTGGGATGTGAGATGTCCTGTACTGGAGCCACACTCGACCAGGAAACCCAGCGCTGACAAGAACATTGCCGTGATACATTAGGTTATTAGGATACATTGAAATACCCGTGCAAAATTTCTTGTCCCCGGAAGCCACAGTACGTCTTGCGAGCCTCTACGTTCCCACCTTGACAGCTGCTGTCAATGGAGCACCATTACATTTTCAAGCCTGTATCTGCAGCTTCGAATCGGGCCTGGAGCCAAGACGAAAGGTAGCGGGGGATGTATAGAGTAGAGTATAGGGTTCTGCATCTCTGGCCTCCCCATCCATCTCACCTTTATCACTTGGGCCCCTGTGGGATCCTGTACAACTCCTCAACCTCGAAGCACAAACGAAACTGCCACGTCACACCGGTGACGGGCAGTAGTCTCGACTCATAACACAGCCAGAGCGCTTCAGGAAGTCTGTGAGCGGCTTCCTTGTAAGCGGGAACTGTGACATGCTCAGCTCAGTGTCAGCTGCAAGGCGGGGATTCGGGGCGCTCGCGGCTAACACGCCAGCATTGAAACGTTTCAAACACGCGGGTGGATGCTTATCAGTTGCTGCTTTGTCTGTCGCGCGCCGCAAGGCCAGATGGTATTTCAGGCTTGGCCTGGGAAGAACATGTCCGAGTCTTCCGTCAATGCAGTTTTCTTCGCCACTCTCAGCCGCGATTACAAAACGATCCATCCATCCACCGTTGATGCACTGAAGCATCACCGGCCACGGCGAGTCAGCATTATCAGCATGGTCTGAATACAGGCAGCCACTAACTCTCGCACTCGAAACAACTCCGGCCCCAAATAGAAAGCTCGACTAGTACCACGAAAGTGTGAGATCGAACGCTCGCATGCTGCAGCGTTGTGCAACCAGCGCAAGTCTGCCTCCCATAATGTGCAGCTGAGGTTCACAAAAGATGCCTGGGAAGGTGGAGGCATTGCGGCGTGTCTTAATATGTCTTGCGACTTGTCTTATGCATCAGCGGTGGCTGACGATGGCTGACGTCCTCCGTCTACCCTGGCAAGTCCGACGACCAGGCTGCCTTTAAAGAGTGCTCCCCCACGAACCGCTCTGCGGCATCCTTACCTTGGCAATTGGGATGATGAACGTTGGCAGGGCGGGCGGGAATTGGGCAAGGTGGCCGCTCGTTCAACCGAGCACCTGTGTAGCTGTCGCAAGTTGGAAGATGCGGCAAGGTAAGTGGGAGCCCAGCAACGGAAGAGGGTGGGGCCAAGGGAGAGGGTCTCAGAGACGAGGCAGCGGAGACATCAGGCTCCGCTCCCACGACCCACAAGGGAGCAATTGGCGTGCCGCCAAGCCGCATCTGTCAGAGGCCCGCACCTTAAGGAGAGCAGGGCTTTGCAGAGTTTGCATAGCCTTCAGCCTTGCTATAGCCTGGCCCACTGTGGGCTTCAGAGGATTCGAAACCTTCTGAGCTTCTGTGGCCCTAAACCCCAAACCTCTGAGAGTTGCAAGGTCAAGCCACGTGGAGCGGCTGAACACTTCCGTCCCCGATCTTGACCTAGGAAAAGATGCTTGGATTCATGTGGAGATGGGAATTCAGCGAGCCCGAAAGCTGAATGCAGGACCCCCTCAAACAGTAAGAGTCTGTGCCAAGACCTTCTAGTATAGTGCCTAGCCTAAAATATCTGGGGGACCACTAAGATCCATCTACTAACAACTTCGCTTCCTTGAACAGACTGGAAGGAGAGCAGGCAGCTCGCCTGGGCCTGTACGAGGATCGTCTCCTTCGCTTGGCAAACACCCGCAACCACTCACCCCTCTCGTGCGTACACACGGATAATCGCGTCCTGACAGCTCGGACTTGCTCCCATTTAGGCAGATACAGTACTCGAGTGCCAAATGACGAAGCGCGGTGCGACAGTTCGTGCTGCGACACTGCTCTCACCCTGCAGCACAGCTCAGCGGCTCCAAATGGCTTCAAGAGGGGCAGTTTGAAACCCGCGAAGTCAAGTCAGTGCAGAGCGCTATGGCTTCTGCGGAGATTAGTTTTTGGAGACTGCCAGCGCCAAGTACCTACACACTCGCAGCAATAATCTGTGACTCAAGTCAGAAGTGTCGGAGTGCACATCTGGACGTGCAGCAAAGCGCCCTGCTCCGGTATAACCCTTCGAAGCCGAAAGCATCCGAAAACGCTTGTCTTGGCTCCTGCCGGTCCGCTGCCGGACTTTTGGCTGTGGGGCTGGGATCTGCCTGGCCCATGAAGCTCTGAGCGAGGCTTGGGCGTTTATGGTTTCGGCAAAACACAGCTATCTGGGATGGATGAGGCTTTACATGAACTAAGGTGCCGTTGTTGTCTGTGTGTACATGGGCCCTGAAGCTGCGTCCGGCAAGCACTACCCAACATTACCCCTATCCCAAACGGCCATCGAGGGTTAAGATGCTTGCTTGAACACAGGCTGGCAGTTCGGAACCAAGCACGGACTTTCGCCGCAGAAAAACAAAGGTGTCAGCGTCGCACAGTAGGGTTGGTTCTCCAGGGAATTGGTCAATCTTGAAAGCTTCCTTA